TATATTTATAAACGATGAAAGAACCTATAATAGAATTCGGTGCTTACAGGACGGGCGCACGGTTAGAACTAAAAAGAACTGCAACGACAGTACATGTGTCTATACCTGGAGTACTAGCAGGCCCCAGACCCTAATTAGACAATGACTTCCAAGGATGTAGGGTTTTCTAAAAAATCCTTAAAGTTAAAGCATGGTCAAGGCTTTAGCTTCAACAGTACGAATGTATCGATTTCATCAATTTTGAACGAAAAGTATAATCAAACGTTGATTCTCCGAGTGAAATAAGAGAGAAGATTTCTGAAAAGGGTGCGATAGCAGAGAGTAAAAGCTAGAGCAACGACAGCAAGATGTCATTGGTGGGAAGGGTGGCGGCAGCAGGGGGTGCAACGGGGGCTAAAACCTAGAAGGTTAACAAAATCAATACCAGTGGGTGGCAGAGCTGGTGGTCGGCCTGCTGGGGGGCTAGGTCGGCCACTGACCTTTATCCAGGCCAACTGCATCATCCCCGTTTCTACGCGCACGCACATAGGAGGTCGTCGTCTATTTTCACGGCGAGCCATTTTCGTCGGATGAAAACAATCCAACCGTACGTATACGTCTACGAATGTACGTTCTGATCTTTCATGCTCGATGAAATCGCTATCATCGAATCTTTGCTCTAACTACCCTTGCAAGCTTTGATATAAAAAAAATACCATTTGGAAATTTTTTATCTTTCGATCGATAAATGTTGGGTGAATGGCTGCATTTTAACTGTAAGGTAGCATGATTGTCTTTTTATTGAAGGCTAGAATGAATGAATTAATGAAATATATACTGTCTCAAGGACCTGTGGTTTCGCGACATGTATTTTTCATCTTGATAAGTCGATATAGCTGGATAAATCCTCAGAGAGTGACACCGATTTTGAAAACCTTCGTGACTTTTTTGAAGAAAATTTGAAGCAAACTCACGTATGAAAATTTGCAGAGTCTTGAACAATAATTCACGGTAGACTGGAATGGTCAGTGTTCCAATTAAGAGCAGAAAAAAGCATAGAAACTGCACCTTCTCACGATCTATGAAATGCTGTTCTTTAACACGAATCGTAATATCGATAAGTGAACCCTTTAATCAGTGTCCGGGGTTAAAACCGCCCAAAAGCTAATGTTCGAACACCTGGATCGTATCAAACGGCAGCACATTTTTCTGCGTTATCAATCGGCACGATCGTTCGCTCACGAATTCCGACGATTAGCCTACTTACTCGAGAAGAAAATAGCTGGCGGAATAACGCGTATCTAAGTCGTCGATCGAGTAACAGGAACACGAAGGGCTCTTTTGAGTTTTACGAGATGCTTTAGCGTCGATGTTTTTCGTCACGCGAGGAACATTAGCCCCGAATTTGATTCCTCAACTTTTATTGTCAAGTTAGGCCCTTTCGACGAAGGATACGAAACACGATCCAACACCTGCCATGTATATATTCGTGTTTAAGCCGAATCATTAGATCGCTGGTTCCCTGGAACGAATTTGGCCCGAGTCTCAAGTGAGTTCCGCTGAACGTCACCTTTAACCATTAAGGAACCAGACGGAACTTCCGTGAATCGAATTGGAGCGCAGTGGCAAAAGATCCTATATATAAGCGAATCCCTGAGTCTAACGGAGAAACTTGATATTCGGATCATTATGGGACTATTCACCGAAACTCCAAGCTGATTTTTGTAAGTCTCGGATATTTAGAAACGAGAAAGATCGGAACAAATTAATATGATAACTGTAGACTTTCTCTTCGAAAGAAATATACCGTGACACGTTAACACCGTTACAAATTTAATCAGAATCCAAAAAACGAGGACGGAAATTTCTAAAATTATGTGGACCTCTTCTAAACTCCTTTTGTTCCAATTATTATACTTGAAGCGTCCGATGTCTTGTCTCACCGTACTTGCAAGCGTCTAATTACACGTCAAAAGCGAAAGCATTTTAACTTAAAAAAGAAGTCCAGCGACAATATCGGAAGAAAGACAATAGGATCAAAGACCTCTCATCGAGTAAACTTTGTAGCAAACAGTTACGAACAACGATTTACAGACCCCTTAAGTGGCCAAGCGTGACTCGTAAAGCATTTATATTAGTGCGTACAAACGAGCCAGCAGAAAGAAACGTATACGGTGAAGATTTTACGAGGGGCACCGTAAAACGTATACGAAAGTCGGCTACCTAAAGGCGAGCGACGGGAAAACGAAAAACACGAGACCGGAGTACATTAGCATTTTTACACAGCAACGGGAATTAGCATGCTACGCGTTAGCGGCTAGCAAAGTCGCGATTTAGGCCAGCAAACGACACAGACGGCGGTCGTCCTTGCCGAGCAACGTTGTCCTGTCCGGCGATCGCACTGTGACCCGCTTTTTTCTAGGATGTGGGACGAACTAGCATGCTCTCCTCTCGGCTCTCTCTTTCATTTAGAAATCCACGCATGCGAGAATAGAAACCGCTTCATTGACGGATTTCGCGGGACAACGAGCTTCGTGGATCATAAGGATCACGGTGGATCAAAGCATGCACCGAGGCACGAATACGCTGATGATGTAATCAACCACGACCTGAGCATACGAAATCACCTCACGAACCAACGATGTAGTAATACGAATTTACAGTAAGACCATCACGAAAATATGTACCTTGCTAGGAACTATCTTGAGATATGAGGGTGAAATTTTAGATCGTCTCGAGAAGGAAAAGAACCGAACTTTTCAAGTACCAAGAGTCAAATAGTCAAGGTTAATTATGGAAAGATAAAACAGATCGTAGCAAACAAGACAAATGGTTAAGACACCATTAACCAATAGATCAACGTGACGCAGCCTTTTTCACAGCCTTCGAAGTCTATGCGAAATCGACTAGAAAAAAAGAGAGGATTCAACTATAGTTAAGCAGAAAGGTTCAGTGAACGGAACATCGTTCTACAATAACGATAAGAGCGTTGCATATGCCAGCCACAACATCGCTAATAGAATAGGGTGACGGAGGGTCTTGTTCCACGCCGATGGAACAAATGAAAAGAAATGACGACGAAGATGAAGACAAATGGTTCGCGGTACTAGACCCGAACTCCTAAAAGTAACAGAGGCAAATCAACGGAACGAATCGAACGTCCGAACGCCACCAGTTCATGCATGTAACATGTAACATTCATAAACGCACGAGCCGACGACCTCGTTCCGCTTCGTGTGGCGCGTTTCGAATCTCTGACCACTACTGGATCTCGCCCATTATTCCTTTTCTTCTAGCCCTTTCGTTCTACCGATACTAGATATTAATCTTGAACATACTTCTTGAGAGCCTAGAATCTTGAAGAGACTCGAACAACCTAGAGAGGATAACCGAGTCTAGGATCATTTAAGAGGCACCTTAGAGCCTAAACTAGAACCTGTTCGGTTCAAGAATCTGAGACTATGAGATGCTATAAAAATTACTTCGAACGTACTTCGATCTTGAGGGACTGAGAGCGTAGAATCTTGTGGAGACTCGAGGAACAACCTACAAAGAACAACCGAGTCTGAGATAATTTAAGGGGAACCTTAGAGCCTAAACTAGAACCTGTTCAGTTCAAGAATTTGAGACTATGGGATGCTATAAAAATTACTTCGAACGTACTTCGATCTTGAGAGACTGAGAGCGTAGAATCTTGAGGAGACTCGAGGAACAACTTACAGAGGACAACGGAGTCTAGGATAATTTAAGGGGAACCTTAGTGAAGCCTAAACTAGAACTCCAGTTCTTAAACTGGATCAAATTCTTAAATTAGAGACTATGGGATGCTATAAAAGTTTGTGGAGTAATTTTAGTGTGACAGCACTGCCGAGACAAAAGCACAGTGGCGTTCACACGGAAGATCGACTGATATTCTCGAGCGGTCGACCTATGCGGAGAATCGTCGATTAGCCAATTCCAGCGGATGCAAATGACGTGGCGCGATCGTACGATCACGATCGCCATTTCCGACGTATTATGTAGATAATCGCGGGTTGAACGGAAATTTTGGCGTAGAAAGCGTCGCGCGTCCGCTCGAACCCGCCCTGCGATGTTTTGCGTTTCAAATCGCGCTCGTGATTCATTCCACGCGATCGAACAACGCTAGCGGAAGATTCGTGGAATTCTTGAATTTTTACAACGCGTCTCGATCAATACGGACTTCCGTGAACCGATAGAGCGAAACGTGAACGGAATACGATGATCGAACACCTAGCTTCAGTAATTTGCTCGGAACTTCCTTGTTGATTTTCAATGAGGTATTCTTCGATTAGTTCTATTCGCGATATCGTATCGCTAGAAACGTATTACGGGACAAAGTGAAGCATCATTGAGAGAGAAACGCGCCGACGCGTTAAACGCGCGTTCATCAGTTAATTACGCGAAGAAATAATCAAGTTACTTTCCGCATGCAACCAGGCGAGCCACCAATTAGGCATAACTGCACGCAATGCAAACACGACCGTGACGCGTGTATGCGTGTGCTGGACACACTTGTTTTCCACGTACCGTTCTTTTGCTCGCGCGGTTTCTACGCCACGTGTTAAGGCTATTTGCGCGCACGAAACGGGACAAATTTAAACGTAATTTACCAAGGAACATTGTACGCGACCGTTCACGGAGGATCAAAGGCGTTTAAATCAATTTTAGAACAGCTTTAGTCGAAATTAGAACGTGTAGTTAGTACCCGGTATCTTGCTTTCTAACTCGGTTTCGAATTGCCATGCGCACAGTATTCAAAAGTCCCGCTGCGCATGCGCAGTGCGTGCTTTTCGAGATCCCGCCTGTCATGCGCAGTAGTCGAGTTTTTTAAGACGCAGACCGGCATTTGTAATGTATATAAAAATATATGTACCTTAACCTAGCATCACGATACAAGCAATAAGATCGTGAAATAATACTAGAAACGGATAGCGCAATACCGCAGCATAACCTCATCGAACAATCTAATGTTACAAAGTAGCATGAAAGTCGAGACTCACCGCATAGCTCGTCTCCGACGAGGAAGGGGCACACCACCTGTAATTAAAACAGACATTATTGATTCTAGATCACTATCGTCCACTGTCATGAAGTTCACCGCTGTGTTTCATATTTAATGTAATCGGAAAGAAAAGGGAAGAGCTTTGACGTACTACAAAAATTCTATGTGCTTCGAAAAGTTTCTATCTAGTGCCGCGCAATTTGTACACCATTATTACGTGTTAAAACAGAAAGACAAAAGATTATTACATACCTTAATACGTATAGACGTATGCATTGTTACAATCTCAAATTAAACTTTGCACAATTACGCACAATTACGCACAAAAATTTCAAGAAACCGCACTACCACTGTTCAAAAATTTGATCGACTCCGCCATTAACAACCTCAATGTAGATTAGGTAACGTGATCTACATCTAAGATCTACGAAAGACGCGACATCTATAATCTATGAAAATGAGCACAAAGCTTAAGCTCCTTAAGTCGCGCGTTTTTACCCGCGTCACTTTTAGTAACTCTATGCTCGAAGATTTTCAAGTGACAGGTGCAGCACCGATTTTAAACAATAGTATTCGTCGCAGTGGTAATTACGAGTTTTTCAAATTGCGGAATAGTTTCGAAATACGTCTCGATACGTACGTGCAAAGAATTCATTTACTTGCGTGCTCTTTAAATGACGCGTGCAGAGGCAAGTGCGTAAAAGCAACTTTAAATTCTGGCTTCGACAAAGTTCCCCAGCATTAACGCGCAAAGAGAAGCAGCTCAAAAGCCGGTAGCGCGACGACGTATTTATCCAGACAGCAGACAAACATACTACTTGCCTGAGTACCTGACACCTGCTCACTTTCGTATACTTTTAAAGAGGACTACGAGTGAAACTGGGCACGCAAGTCAGACAGAACGGTGAGTCTTTAACGTAGTTGTAACGTGATCTCTGTTTTCGTTTCAACTCCGATACTGACCATGAATATCAGGGGCTCATTTATTCTCGATTAACTAACGTACGAAGCAAATTTAAGAATGTGACATTTCGTAACAATAGCTGTCAAACGATGTTCGTAACGATATCAAGTAGCAATCTTGAAAGGTCGATTGCGCGCGAGTCTATGAAAATTAAAATCCATTATCGCGACGATGCATTATGATATATTTGAGAAGGAGCAGAACGCGGACATTGACTCACGTGACCAGAACGAATTACGCTCGTACGAATTGCGTGAACGCGACCACGCATAAATAACGTGGCTGTGTGTACGCAAAGTGTACGCCGGCGACAGTGACGACAGTGTGGACACGGTTGATCGCGTGAATAAATACACACGTGCATATGCGCGTATATACACGTAAATACTCTCACCTCGATACAAATCGGCAAGCCACAATTACGCACAATTACGCACAAAAATTTCAAGAAACCGCACTACCACTGTTCAAAAATTTGATCGACTCCGCCATTAACAACCTCAATGTAGATTAGGTAACGTGATCTACATCTAAGATCTACGAAAGACGCGACATCTATAATCTATGAAAATGAGCACAAAGCTTAAGCTCCTTAAGTCGCGCGTTTTTACCCGCGTCACTTTTAGTAACTCTATGCTCGAAGATTTTCAAGTGACAGGTGCAGCACCGATTTTAAACAATAGTATTCGTCGCAGTGGTAATTACGAGTTTTTCAAATTGCGGAATAGTTTCGAAATACGTCTCGATACGTACGTGCAAAGAATTCATTTACTTGCGTGCTCTTTAAATGACGCGTGCAGAGGCAAGTGCGTAAAAGCAACTTTAAATTCTGGCTTCGACAAAGTTCCCCAGCATTAACGCGCAAAGAGAAGCAGCTCAAAAGCCGGTAGCGCGACGACGTATTTATCCAGACAGCAGACAAACATACTACTTGCCTGAGTACCTGACACCTGCTCACTTTCGTATACTTTTAAAGAGGACTACGAGTGAAACTGGGCACGCAAGTCAGACAGAACGGTGAGTCTTTAACGTAGTTGTAACGTGATCTCTGTTTTCGTTTCAACTCCGATACTGACCATGAATATCAGGGGCTCATTTATTCTCGATTAACTAACGTACGAAGCAAATTTAAGAATGTGACATTTCGTAACAATAGCTGTCAAACGATGTTCGTAACGATATCAAGTAGCAATCTTGAAAGGTCGATTGCGCGCGAGTCTATGAAAATTAAAATCCATTATCGCGACGATGCATTATGATATATTTGAGAAGGAGCAGAACGCGGACATTGACTCACGTGACCAGAACGAATTACGCTCGTACGAATTGCGTGAACGCGACCACGCATAAATAACGTGGCTGTGTGTACGCAAAGTGTACGCCGGCGACAGTGACGACAGTGTGGACACGGTTGATCGCGTGAATAAATACACACGTGCATATGCGCGTATATACACGTAAATACTCTCACCTCGATACAAATCGGCAAGCAGGCAGCAGGCCGTCACAACACGACGGTCGTTGCATCCCCTCCCGCCGCGCCTCGATCCTCCTGTTCCCGTTCATTCATTCCTCTTCCACGCGACGCCGCCGTTGTTTCTTTTCTCGGCGGACAACGTTCGTGTCAGCAACGTTAACAGACGGCACACCATAGTTACCCGGTGTACAGTGGCATACTTTGCGCGGTAATCGAATAAAGTACGATCTTCGATCAACCGGAGACGACGAACCGCGATTCCGACAAACCCGATAATATTCGGACACGCACCGTGACGCGAAATTCCCGACCGATCAGACCGACGCCATTCTTGCTTTCAAACTGTTTATATCGCGTTAGGGTGCGTTTAGTCTAAACGAGCAAAAACTTGGAGTAAGAGCATTCGTTCGTGCTCGTTTGATACGAAGCGAATTATCGGGTCACAAACTGCTGAATGTTCATACAGGTGATTGTACCGTAAACGCATTTAAAGTCGTAGAATTCAATATGTATGACATGGAGAAAGAACAATTTCTCAGCAACTATTCAATGATGGACTGATAGCAATCGTGTGTTAACATTAGATAAAAAGTTGTCTGCGATGAAAAGTAACATTCATTTACGTCCATCTGCCAAACAATCGCTGAGCAAGAAAATGCTCGTTTATGAATTTCGTCAAGGTGAAAGAAGACAAGCATTCGCTCGCTTAGTCCAAACGCACCCTTAGGGTGAATTCCCACTGAGCCAAACGAGCGCAAACGAGAAGGGAGAAATATACGTCGATGTTCGTCTCGTTAGTTCGCTAGACAAGCACCGACATACGGTTTCCCCTGGTGCTCGCTCGATTCGGTGAGGTCTCGCGCTTAGACATTATGGCACGACCAAAACAATTCACGTGAACGTGCAACGTATACACACCAATTGCGGGGTATTAATCAAATCGTTCAAACACCGCCACTTATTTCCATCGGCGATTATGCGGCAAAACAAAAATAGCCTCCTGCGTGCTCCGAAAGATCGCGCTACTCTTCGAGTCTGGTGGCCGTAGGCGGCGTGACGTGAACGCGGCCTACCGTAAATACAACGGTTAATAGGAGAACAGCAACGACGAGGAACAACCAATAGCACCCAAACACTAAATGATCAACATCGCGAGGAAAACTGTCGTAGACTACGCGCAGTATACCAGACACGTTCTCAAGGACGTCCGCGAACGTCTCGCCGGCGACTTCGCCGCTACCACAGCAATCGAACGACATTTGACCAGTAACCGTGGTACCTTCGAATGCTCCGACTGGACGAAGTATGACGGGCTGAAGCCGGGAAATAAATGCGGAGCACCCATAAGAATGTCGCGCTATAAAACGGCGCGCCGCGACAACGCGACTAAACGGGCTAAGCGGGTTTTCGCTTTCGACTGAAATCGAATGTCCTGCCGGCTAGCCGCGAACGCCAGCCCGTGTGCGAGTACGTACGTGTGCGCACGCGTGCGTGTTGCGTGTGTCGTCGTACGGGTGTTTCTATCCAGCATCCAATATCGAGTATCCCGACGAGTAAACGTAGCCCTGTCGAGCTCGTGTTACAAAACACTAGTGTCGACGAGATGAGTTGACCGATTAAATTACAAGTGACACGCGCGTAATGCACTTCACGATAACAGATACATCTTTTCTTGTTTACCTTGAGGTCATGCCGCGTCGCGGTCACTTCAAAATGAATAAAACGAATGAGTTCTGTCTTAATTTTTAATATTTTTCTTACAATTACAATTCGCTCGATTTTCCTTTTATAATTACAATGGCTGTCACATATTTGGTGGTCATTTATATGAATAAATTAAATTAACTAGTACATCAAAGAAAAATATATTTATTTAAACTTATAGTAATCATTGTACAGCTACAATGTTCATATACAAACTTCATTTTCATATATTACTTCCATATTATGCCATTTTCTGTGAATGGTCTTTAGTCAAAAATGTGAAGCAAATTACTTGTACTTATAGGTCACATAAATGGATATTGCCTCTGAAATTGTAACATGTATTTCATTATAAAGTGTCATAGCATTATATTTGACTGAATTAGAATTACATTATTTCTTCTCTTCATTGAGATTATATTTTGTCTTCAACTTATCTATTTCTTCCATCTTTTTATCTACATCCACCCGCTTAAATGCTTTATTACTTTGATAATATAAAACTACCAAGTATCTATTGCAAACATTAAATCCACTTAAATGATCACATGCATTCTTAGCATCAAATATATCTTCGTAAACAACAAAAGCTGTTCCTCTGGTCTCAGCTGTGTTTCCCCTATAAGAAAGGATGTACTAATCTTAAAAATCATGTACAAAATGTAATTAAGCAATAAAATGAAATTGTTAAAACAACAGTTGGACATATATTGCATATTTTAGGTGTAGTATCAAAAAAATATTGTAACTGATCACTTACACTCGAATTTGTCTGATAGCTCCATATTTACCAAAAATATCATACATTTCTTCCGCTGTAATTTTATAAGGCAAGTTCCTAATATATAATACTCTATTTACTTCTGGAGGCAATCTTACCTGTCAAAGAAAATAGTTTAAAAAATAACAGATATAGGTTAGGTTAGAAATAAGTTGAAAATAAACATTAAATACACTAATTTAGAATACTTACGTTAGCCCTCCGTTGCAGCATTGCCATAGTCATCTTGGAAAAATATTTATTCTTTCGTGTACACGGAAAAAGAAATTACGAAAGTAGTTTGTTTACTCGGAAACAATGCGCTTTTCTTTTACGTCAAAATACTGTCGTAAATCGTCATCGTGCTGCTAGAGAGCAGCACTGACGAATATCCTTGTAATGATCTTTGTGGTAAGAACATTGTGATATGTGGAAAGAAATTAATAAGCCAAGTACTTTTGTAATTTTTATTCATAGTAACAATGATCCAAAACAAACATTTAAAAATGGTACTAGTAATTGGCATTATTTTACTTGCAATATCATCCATTTCATGAGATTTTTCCAAATACTAACTAAATGTTATTACATGTTATCACATTGACGTTACAGTTTTATACGTTTAGTTACATTTACAACATTTAATAGTACGATATCTGCTTTTTCTTTATATAAATAGTATATTCACGTTTCAATTGAAAAATTTACTTGAGTATTAGAAACGATTTAACAAACTAACAAACTGAGTATTGAACTTTTAAGTATGATAAGCTAGATCCTGATTCCTTCGATAATCACATTTAATATATAATATGTATACAACGTGTTCATTGAAATAGATATTGCTAGTGGAATGAATAGATGGCACAACAGAACAATGCCTGATTGCAATTAGAACCGTCAAATATTTTCTATGAAGGATATTATGTTAATATTTTATACTTTATTAAAAGCTGCAATATCTACGCTTTGTACATAATCCTCGATTTCTTGAATTTTTTCTGTGAGCCAATCTACTGAAACTTTGTCGTCTTCCACGACACACGAGATTTGAAGTTTGTGTATTCCAAAAGCAAGGGGAACAAGTTTTGCTGTGAACAAAAAAAATTATCGTGTTCTCAATTCAAATGTTAAAGTACTTATTATAAATAAATTATATCATTAACTCACCCGCTCCCCATAGGAGACCATCGGTTTCAATTTTTCGTACTTCAGTTTCCATAGCTTTCATATCTGTCTCATCGTCCCACGGTTTCACGTCTAATATTATGTTCGACTTCGCGATCAATGCTGGTTCTATAAATTATCATTATGTAGAAATAAAGAATATTATATCCAAAGGTCACATTTAACAAACAACTTACTTTTGGACTTCTTCGCGGCATATGCAGCCAATCTTTCTTCCCTAATTTTTGCAGCTTCTGCATCTTCTCCCTAATAAGTCAAGTATTTGAAGAGTTTACAGCATAGGCCATAATTAAAAATATATAAATTTGAATAATTGTGTAGTTTTGTATTGAACGAATGTCATGGATAAGAGAATAGAGTGGAGTATATCAGTATTCTGGGAATATCTGGTGTACTATTATCTCGTAAATGTCGTTTCATTTTACCGCTGTTTCATCCTACTTGAAAAAAATGTGTAAAGTGTGCTAAATGTATCGTGCATAAATGATTTTAAATATCATGTAGATAGAAGGAGATTAACTGGTTAATGTCTTCCACTATTACTGCTCACTTGCCTCTGAATCTGAACCAAAGAGATCAACATCCTCGTCATCGTCAGCTTTTTCTTGCGATTCTTTTGAAACTGGTTCAGGTTTTGCAGGGCAAACTGCTATGACTGAAGGAGTAGATAGGAGTGCAACCTTATCTTCAAGATCTTTGACACGTTCCTCCAATTTGTCGATAGTATTTTTCAATGATTGGATAACTATCAGTGAAATTTGATAATGCAGTGAACTTTACAGTACTAGCGAATGATGTTGTACGTACAGGGTAGAATACTTACAGCTAGGATCAAATGTATCTTTCTTGTTATCATTTGGTGTTGGGAGACCAGCAACAGCTGCAATGTCATCCATCTGTAAAATGATAATAATATATGGTAGAAAGAATGTACATAACAATTACAGGCTGATAGTTACTGGATAATTAAACATTACATCTACAAGTTTATATTAAGACTAAATATTGTATTAGTAAGCAGGTTTGTAAATTTGTTATATAAGGGTGTGCAAAGAGTGCAGTACTCACACACTGTAAAGACTGTTTAATATGTTGACGAGCCTTGGCCACTTCATTGGCTAAGCTTCCACCAGCAGATAGAATTGGACTAGTGGTTTGTTGATTTCCCTGCATCCACCAATATTAAAGGTAAACTCAAACTAAACTCAATGTTATCAATTCAGTATCATACTTCCACTAAGACTTAAGAAAATAATGTTAATAAAACTGCAACATGTATATGTTGTTGTTTTATTTTTATACAAACTATTGAAAATATTTACCAAATTATACTAAAATTCATTTATAATCATACAGAAGTACAATTTTTAAGAAAAAATACCATGTGGAAGTAGATATTTCGCATGTTCATCATGTGAATAAATAAGCACATCAATGTGTTACTACAAGGTAAAAAATTAAAAAGAAACATTGATTATTATTATACATAAATGTTTGATTAGCAAGCTTAGAATTGTAACAAAATACACTTTTAGTTGTAAGCACACAAATACAACAATTTTTTTAAAAACACAAAAAGCATGCAAAATTTTAAATAAAGGCATAGTATACATGTGCTATTTTTCTCAGTGTTTAAGCAATAACTACCAAATGAAAGTACCAAACAACAGTATTAATATGAGAACTATAAAATGATTACTAGTTCTTGATGTTTTAATAATAAAAAAGGACAAGATAGTAATATTTTTAATATTTAAAAATTATAAGCATTTTTCTGTAATGATATATGCAATGAAATTTATGTAATGAAATAAATAAAATATCATAAATAATATTCAATTGATGCACACAAAACATTAAGTATGCATTGCAGTATGTACCTGAGTAGGTAATTGTTGCTTATTCCTTGTTAATGATGCAACATTTTCTTTCATTTCCTTAGTATCTTTCTTTGCTTTTCCTTTACTTCTATGTCTTGTATCAGCTTTATTCTTCTCTTCCTTCACTTCTTTTGTATTGTATTTTTTAGATACATCATTTGAAGGACTAGTCTCTTTTCTTTTCATATCATTTTTTATGTTTTCAGTCTTTTGCTTTTCTTCTATATTTTCTTTTTTAGGCATAATGTACTCATCTTCTTCTTTATTTGTATTTGACATTTTTTTCTGATGCTTGCAACTTGTTATGTCATTTGAAATATTATCAGAAATTAACATTTGATTATCTTTAAATTTCTTAGACTTTGACTTAGATACAGAATTACTATTCAGGATATCTTGACAATTGTTAGTTAAAGAAACTTCAGATTTAAGCGAGCAGCTTTCCATAATTTTATGGGACACCACCTTGAAACATGTTTCAAGCTATGCAAGTAGGAACTAATGTTTTGTAAACATTGTATAAAATAGAAACTAAATCAAGCTTGTTTCTATTATGGACTGAATACACTTTATGTTGTTACTATCAAAATACAACTGCACAAATATCAAATATCTTTAGTAAAAGTTTCATGCATTATTTAACTCATGAAATATGTAATATAATACATTGTGTGTAACTAAACAATATACACAAATTAATATGAAATTATATTGTAAATCTTATGTTTTAACTTTGATATTATGTCATAAATACTTTGTATTAGGAAAAAAAAATATTGCATAATTTGTTTAGACATATAAATAGAAATGGGAATTAAGTTTTTAGAAGAAAAATAAAATTCCCAACACCTCGTGAAATTATAAGCAGGTGAAATGTTCCCTATCACCAGATATTCCCTGAAGTGTGTGTTAGAAATGTTAGTTTTTAGTTAGTACAACAAAAAAACATAAGGCATAACAAAACAGCATACATTAGTTAATGGATGTTGGGGCTAACAATAATAGGTTTAAAATTTTCTGTTTATAAACATACTTCCAGACATCATGATTTTCAACAAATATTTGCTTTAACATTATTGTATACAAAATTAATAAAAAACCAAACTTTTTCATATTGATTTAATTGTATGTTTAAAAACATTTTTCCTATTCCTGTTGGCAGTTATCGTTATTCAACGATATTATCATAAAACATTTTGCTAAAAATACTTACCTTAGCCATTTTCTCAAAATATAGTCGTTCCGCCTTGTCATAGGATGGCTTGTCAAACCATACCTTTTCTTGAGCTAATGCTGATTTTTCCATGTTTAGGTGATTTATTCAATGATAAAGGTGCAAGTAAATTTCTGTAACACGAAATTTTATCCATCTCAAAAGTTTTTAAAATTTAGCAATATTTAGCTTAACTATATTAAAGTATTAAATTTTTTTTAATCAACTAGAATTATGTAATTTAGAAGTTCTTGTCTATGAGAAATAAAGATATAAAAAAATATTTAAATAACTGTGTTTATTAAAAATACAACTTTATAAATAAATTACATGTAAACTATGTGCAATATTATATAAAATTATTGAGTCTTTTTAATCAAATAACAATATATTACAAAATTTAATAGCTAATACTCATTAGTACTTAAATATTAATTAACATCAAAAACTATCATCATCACTACTGAAGTATTCAGATTTAAATGAAGAGTTACTTAATGCTTTTTTATTTGGAAGCTCTAATTTATATGTCTCTCTCAATTTTACTTGATCATCAGATGTGTTTGTGATTTCATCTAACAAACGATATACCTCTTCTTCTTCTTCTGTTTTAACTACACATGGATATATTTCTAATGCCTTAAAATATTGTACAAATGCTTTCAGTTCATTGAGAGAAGAGTGAGTGGAATAACACACATTGAAAGTTCTTTCTTTAGTTTTATCCCACTCTCCTATCACACTCGTATCTCTCTTTCTCCATTTCATTACAGATGGAATGATAGTCATAATACTTGTTATTTTTACATTACTTCTACAATGTAAACCCGAGGAAGATATTTTTCCCTTGCAAGCATGAATTGGTGTACTATGTGGATCATTTGTAACACAACAAGATAATTGTTCGATACGACAATAAGTTTCATACACATAATTTTTAACATGAATTTTCATGTTTAACATCTTAAACAGTTCTATAAAAAGAAATTCTGAACCATAAGTAGCAGAACATTCCAGAATAACAACATTTCTTGGGTCCTTATTTAACCAATCTTTGGTAACTGTACATATTTTAAGTAAACTCTCTTGTCTAGTTGGAAAGAAAATAAAATCATTGCTTAGAAATGTTGTATCTAAGTAGACTTTAGTAAATGTTCTAGGAAACAGTTTAGAATCTTTGTAATAATGTAAAGCTTTCAACTTTGAGAAATCTACTGGATTAATACGAAAATCACCAGTATACAATATCGAAACATTATTTCTTTCAAAAAGAAACATTACAGAACCAGGACAGTGTCCTGCAGAAATAGAAGTTACAGAAATAAGGATTTCATCTTTATTCTGTGTTTTATATTCTATAACAACAGATGCGTTGATATTTATTTCTTTTATACAAGTATCTTTAAATTTAAATTTATTTTCTAATAGAGCCTTCGTAATATGACTACAATATAGATATTTGTTATTCTCATCTAAATATTCAAAAAAAAGGTCAGATAAACCACGCATATGATCACAGTGACAATGACTAAGAAAGAATACAGAAGATGATAAATTTTCTCCATCAAAACGATCCACTGAGATGCCAGGTATCTCCTTAATAAGCCCAAGAAAAGTTGACATTCTGGCACGTATTTAGCTCCTGTAATTTATAAATTAACCATCAACTACATCAATACTTGTTCAAAATAAAAATATCTTAACAGAAGTAATGTATGTGATTATATATGTAATGAATCAATATATATCAGATCTAATTTGTAATAGTCTAAGAAAAGACTTTTAAACTAACTATTCTATTAATATTTATGCTTGATTAAAATATGTTATAGTCAAATGTATCTACATTTCGTTTAAACTTGAAACATTGTCATAAACCGAAAACAGATGTTTGAGAGACAGATGAAATTGTATATTACAGGTTAATGACTATAAATCAAATAAATAACACATCGATCAAAGAAAGAATTTAAACGGGATCATTTACGAACCAATGAGCCAATCGTTTATGCAACTGTGCATGAATAATCAGTAAATTTTTCACTGGAACATTAACAACACGTATCCGCCATGTGCTGTATTGATCGATTAATTTGACGATTCTATAGGTGAAGTACTATTAATTTAACTGTCGCTAATATTGCAAACTGATAAAGTAAGCATATGAATTATATGCCGCCTAAATATATTAATTCTACCTTGACTCGTCACAGATTGTCAGATTGCTGCAACAATTGTCCGTTCGCCAAAATTTCTGTATGCCGGATATAACGTGCCAATTAAAAAGAAATAGAAACACTGGTATACGTGTAATGATGAAAGATGTCACTACAGTACCTTTTTATCACCGACCAACTCAAAACACTTGATGTTTTAATTTAGATTAGATACAGCTTCTTAAAAAATATGATGACTGAAGGTTCAATTAAATTTTTACGCAATCGAAAATACACGATCGAATGTAGGCTGTTTCAAGCATATCAATTTTGTAATGTTGGTCTACAGTATATAATTCTTTATTCAATTTTGTTACGTATTTTTATTAGCAGAGCTACTATGCTAATACAATTTGATTTATTAGAAAGAAAACAGCAATGGAAAGATTAAAGTTGAGTCTTATGTGTGAAATAAATGTGAGCCCAATTATGTTGAAAGTATATCAATATTTACTACTAATAATTTTACAAGATTTCATTATATTTTTAACGTTGCATGTATTGTATCAATACATAGCAAATAAAGCTTTAAAATTGGCGGTAATTGCTTTCAGGAAAGACCTTATCTTTTTATTCTACGCATATCAGATGGCGCTGAACGATAATACAAATACATTACTGCTATGCAGGTAGTTTACGTTTGATTCTAGCAGAAATCAATTTTTGGTTAAAATGACTGCGCAAGGATCACCTACTAAAATTAAAGAATTACGCTTGCCTATGTCAAGGGTAAAAACGATTATGAAAAGTTCTCCTTACGTTGATACAATTGGCCAAGATGGACTGTATTTGGTCACGAAAGCTACGGTAAGATTAATATGGTTATTTTGTAAATATGTGTAGTTTCCATGTTTGTTATTTCGCGGGTCAATTAAAAATTCCTGTTGTTTAACATGCATATTATATAAAATAATTGTTTCTTTTGTTTAACGAATTTCACTAATCAGAAATATGAAATTAATTTCTTTAGGAACTATTTATACACTATTTAACAGAAGAGGCACATTTACAAAACAACAAAGGACATTCTTTAGATTATAAACATCTGGCAGAAGTGGTACAGACCAATGATACATTAGAATTTCTTAGAGAAATAATGCCCAGAAAAATAACAGTCAGACAATTTAAGGAAATGATGGCTGCCAAGAATTCAAACAGCTCGTCTGAAAGTAGTTCAGATTCAGACAGTGATAGTGAGTCAGATACTAATTCCTGTTCTGATAGTGATGATAGAAAAGCTGATAGTCACTCGACAAGTAGTGAGAAAGAAAATGGTAACTGTGATTCAACCAGTGACAAAAGTGAAGCCAGTGAAAAAAGTGACAGTGAAGATGAAACTAAAAGATAGGGAAAGAGATATTTATTTTCATCTATACTTTCATACAGACAGGCTCTCTGATTACCTAAGAAACATTATAACTCTACAGACATTTAGTTTTAGGAGAATGCTTAAAGTGTCTGTCAGTATTTGATGTCTAAATGACAGACAGACAATAATTTTGAATGCTCAACATTATTTTTATATGTATTCATTAAATTAATAGAAAACTAAATATGACATTTCCATTTGTGTTAAACCATACTTGTATTATTCCCTATTTAGGTGTACCACGAAAGAACTATAAAAGCACATACAAAGTAAATGATTTATTTATTTTTCATGATGCAACAGCTTAAAAAGCTTCATACTACTTTAGCCGAATAATAATACAAAACAAAAATAAATGCATCAATCTTTCTGCTCCGTTTTTCCCTTCACTTTATCATTATTTGTTAATATATTGACTTTTCACAAATTTTTTTTCATATTTCAGCACTTTTTGTAGAAACTGCAGAAAGATGTTAATCATAGAATGCTCTATATACTTTTATTCTTGATGCAACTTTTTAGGCATAGGCGCTGAAGCAGCTTCGTATCCATCTTCATTCAATTTAATAGCCAAGAAATAGATTTCAGCCAAGGCTATGATCAGTGCACAGATTATACCTAATAACAATCTGAATCCAAAATCTAAATTTCCAACTATTAATTCCACACCTTTAAATCCAAAGACAAATCCTGCTAATACAGAAAATATAAACTGTGCAACAGCTATGAGTTGTCTATTTATTTGTTTCACTGAAAAATAAACATAGATATATCATACATATTTTAATACTTAATTTTAAATAGAAAGTCTTACTTTGATAAGCAATAGAATCATCTGGAAATTTTCTTCTACTAGAATCAATATTTTTGGTCATAGCTTGATATTCTCTAGCATCTTGTTGCGCTTTCAGCTTCTGTATTCTAGCTTCTAACTCAGGATTCCTTGGTATGTGTTTTGGTGTAGGTAATTTTATATCAGCCTCTTCTAAAAGTTCATGTAAATAAATACTTTCCATTTTTGTGGTCCTGTATTCCTCCAAATACTTGTTCAACCATCTGATGTCGTCTAGTTTTAATAAAACATCTTTCTGGTTATCTTTATTAGCTCTTTTCAAAGCAATAATACCAGGTGGGTTGCTGTTTGATTTCTTAACATTCTTACAAATAAATTCTGTTAACCTTTTGTTTGGTTTGATTTTTATAGAAGGATCTTCAATCGATTCAACTACCATTCTTATATTTTTTAAATAAATTTGCTGCCATTAACAAAATAACATTATTATGAAATTTGTATGTGCTAAATGCAGAAAGTAGAAAATATAACTCTCCAATATTAAAGTACAAGAATGATCAATTTATGGTGTAATGTGTAACTTTTTTTCTAGATCAATATAAAACTCTTTTATCTCATTCTCTTTTTCCTCAAATGTTTGATTTACTTTCTCACACTTTTCACTCATGTCATTAACAAACTTCTCCCATTCTACTTTCCTTTTTTCTCTGTTCTCTTGTAATGCTATATCCTGCAAAATCATCAAACATATATAAGAATATTTCTGATATATATTTTTTTCGTTCGTTTTATATTAAATAAGCATACAGGATCAAAGTCTTGTTCTCTTTGAAGAACTCTTTCGCACATACTCAGTGCGACATCAACATTTGCTTTTAAACTCGGCAAATGACAATCTCCAAGTTGCTCCGTTCGATCGAGTTGATTTTCCTTTAGTTCCGTCGTATATTCAAGTATTTTGAAAAGTCGTTCCACTTCCGTGTCACCTCTTTTCTCCTGAAAATGTACAATCCTCAATATTTACACGTTTTTTACAATGATTAAATAATAAGAAATCAATTTTTTCTTAAGCTTCATCTTGCAACTCTTTTAGGTTATAATGATCATTGTTGCCACTGACATACACACGACGTTTAATAAAGGTACTACGAAAATGAACACTTATGATACCACGATTATTATTTTTTCTTACATGAAACTACAAATATTTCTACGAAACAAGAAAATATTTTACCTCAAATTCGCGCAAGAAGAACGTGATTTCACCTTGGATGAATGGTCGGTGATCGAACAGTCGGCTCCAAATCTCACCCGCGTCTACGAAAATGTTATCGCGAATTTCATTATGATAATTAATTTTAAGAATAAAACGTACGTTTGAAAGCTACGTATTTACAGTCAACCGGAATATGCCGCACCTTTAATTACGGACTCCATGTTTCTTCGGAAGATAGGTGGACTGCATATGCAACCTCTCCATTGTTTCGCGCATCGCGCCTAATACAAAAGTCGCATTTTCTTTTCCTTTTACTTAACTTTTTATATCAGAACTGATCGATCTGCATTCGTCAATTAAACGCTGACTATCTACATTTTACAGCGTTATTTATAACATGACTATAAACAAAATTAAATTCTTTTTTTTACGAAGATAAATTTTAGTCACGCGACTTTCAGTGAAGGTCAAGGAAAGTAATTTTAGATATTGCTGAAGATGGCTTTTTTATTAGTTCGTGATGGATCGACGTTTAAATCAGAAATAATTATTCGACGGGAGTTATAAAATTATTGATCCCTGATCAATTCAGAGTTATCGAAATTCTTAATTCATTTTTCAAATCGAATTAATTTTTCTTCAAGTTCCTTTGTGTTCTTTTGATCGAAAAGGACTTTGGTTTAAAGTCTAAACCTTTTGCTCATGTTTTAAATAAATATTCTTCAAGTTTCTTTGCGTTCTCTTGATTGAAAAGGACTTTAAAGTCTAAACCTTTTGCTCATGTTTTAATTAAATATTCTTCGTTCGACAAAGACCATTCGATAGGTGCTATTTAAGTCCCGCAAGGAAACAATCACACGACACGCATTTGACACCGGTTCATTTCATTCTCGCGTTGCAACACGACGCATAATTACTTATCGATGTAAAATTTGAGACATCCATAGGGTATCGTACACGACAATTGCATCGTGTGATCGAACATGTATTCTGTAGTAACGGTGGTAGGGATTCCTGTAGTCTATAAATGAAAAGTTCCGCTCGATTGTTCGTCTGTTTCGTGAAACTCCACTGGTGCTTGTATCGATCCGAAGCGTCGAAAACGTCATCGATACACAATGGATCGTTTCCTGCATTTCGTTCTGTTGTTCGCCGTTTTGCATTTCGCAATGTAACAATCGTATTCACTCTTTTGTCCGTTGATATTGCTCTGCCAAATAAAGAAGAAAAATATTGGAAATAGTAACGCAAAAATCATATTCTGTTTTGGTAGTTCTATTTTGTTATCACTGATTGAGAACGCTGTTCGCAATATTGGAAACAATTTTGCTCTTCGTAAAAGAACTTACAAGTCTCTTTTCATTTTTATTTAACGGTGAATTATTTGCTTACTGGCTATGCTTTTTCACTGTTATAGTTGTAGTTCAAATTGTTATTACGTCAAGAATTTAATTCCGTTTTCAATTTCTCTTGCAGGCAAGAAACCGTCGAAGAAGGAGGATGCGAGTGCGGAGTTTTTGAGGCGGACACGTCCAAATCGATCATCGAACGCGCTCTTAAATTTAATGTTACGTGCAACAGCAAAGGGGAGGAAGAGTGTCAACTGCTGTGCGTCGCTTTGGTAATTAATTTCAATTCAAACACAGTAATCGATACAAATCGATATTAAAAAAGTATAATTCTTCACAGGCCCAAAGTGCGAAAGACAAGGCCCCGCAAATGATCTGCGAGATATTGAACGCCACCGTGGAAAATCTTCAGGTGAGTGACCTTTCATCAAGCACCTAACTTTAGTCGTTATGGAATTGTTATTTATAGAATATTTCAGGTGGCAGTGTACTCGAAAGTGTGCAACGAGACCAACTGGAAATTCACTGGTTTGAAGAGCGGTGATCCGATTTGCTGCCACGAGGGAAAACCAAAATCTTGCTACGAATCGTCATCGATCATCAACGATTGGATGAATTCATTCGCGGCGGTTAATCCCTAAAATTTGTTATTCCTTCGTTACGCGAGCGCTGATTATTTTATCGATAATTGATAGGTTTATGCGTCGCTGCTCTAATATGTGTATTTATCCGAGTTAAACAGGAATATTGATCGTTAGGATTATGAAAATAAATTCAAATGTTTGTACGAAACTTATGGGAGGATTTGATTCGACGAAACTCGTGAAGAAAACAAATAATATTGTTCCAAGCGATTTATAGCAGTAAGTTGAATATATAGAACTTGTCCATACTGTACTAGTTAGAATACAGTGAACGTAGATAGATTCGCAAGGAAAGAGACCTCAGGGGCTCAAATATTATTTTACTTGATCCTTCATTATCCCCTGCGTATACGAATCAGCTACCTCGAGTATAAATTGATAAATAAAGATTAATTCGTTATAACGTCGGAAAATAATACGTAACTGAATATTAAAACGTAGAACAATAAGATATGTATTCTGAAATTTATCCGGATAGAGAAAAAAGTTGTACAAATGTTGATATCTCTGCAGCAAACCACTTGTTTCCATTTTATGAATTTCATTTCACGATCTCGTTTGCATCGTAGATTCGATCTCACAGAGCGTGAAGCATCAAAAGCTTCTTCTGGATAAAATCCGCCGGCTTAAAAGCATTAAACGCTGCCCGTCTGCCTTCGATCGAAAGAGTTTTCGAAACGATTATACACGTATGGAAAGCCGTCTCTCTCGGAGAAGCAGCAGAATACAGAGTACGTCTCACGGATCCTAGATATCTTCTATTTCGTCAATGGTGTTCAGAGATTCTCATCCCAGCATTCGTGCCATTATATGAATAGAGGGGTTTGTTATCGCTCCTCCAACTTCCTGTCGATGAATCCTTCGTCGCGGCCTCGTATATCGACCTTGCCAGCCTAAAGGTCCATTGTATACCCACGGTTTTATCACCCTTTCTTCTCCAGATTAAATGACCGCACCATTTTCGTGCTCTTCTCGTGTTGCGCGAAATCTACTTGGTTTTCTCGGTCAGAGGCGACGCCATTATTCTTCAGGTATCTCGAAATGGCAAAATTTATTCCAAATAGTGCTGTTGCAGCGTTAGATCGCCCTTTTGGCGGAATTGAAAGATTTACACGCAAATGCAAGCCCGATACACGCTGCAGGAACCCACTGTTTCTGCACTGTGTGTCGTATAGCACGCTAACTTGGTCTAACGACGAAGTTTGCGAGTAAAAGAGGATACGTCGAAAATGGGGTCAGTTGCTGGTACTTTGAGTTGTTGGTTTGCACGGTGCCAACATTGTGCCCTGTAACGCGCTGACTTTGACTACTAGCGTCGAAAGGGATGTACGTGGCAAAAGTTGCACGAAGTAATCACTCGCAGTGTATTGGCTTTCGGGAAGCGTAAACAGTTTGTAATTTGTAAGCACACATTATTACGTCTTTTGCGTCATCAAGTTCTGTCACCTTTAGCGTTAAAAATCTCGATATTCTCTATTAATCATCAAGTAATTTCCATTCGACAAACATCCTTAATCGTACGATTGGAAATGGTACACACCGGTAAATCCGTTCGCGTTAATTTGCCTTTCATATCGTGTGCACATTCCTTCGCGTACGTGTGAGTGTTATCCGCAAATCAAATCGTGTAGCATGCGTCGTTTCAACACAATTAAACGAAACGGAAATTGGGATAACTAACTGTGAATTTCCTGTTTTCCCTGCGAATCTTCACGTATAAGTATCCGCGTACGACGAGCATCCATTTACTTGTAAACCCATCGAATTAAATCCGATACGTTAAATAAAATTCTACCTGTTAGCCGATCGCTTCGTAATCTTCTTAAATGTCGGACGATTTAAATTGTTTTCAAAAGTACAGGAAACTAAAGTTAGGATTGCGTGATCAGACTTTGAAGAGCAATCAACGTCTAAGATTGACGTCACGTTAGATTAATATTCTAACGCGTTCAGCTTCATATTCTGATCTATTCTTAACCCTTCGTATCTTGTAACTGCGGTATTATATTGTCACCTTGCAAGACTGTACCGCAACATAAATAATTAGGAATGTAATGGTGTGCGAAAGGATTAAAAATGACGTGCGGGAAAAGTAAATAAAAGAAAATATGTGGAGAATAAATCTGTATGAAACGGGAACGCGAATTCGCAGCGGTTTATCCAATAATGTGTTGCGTAATCGAATCTCCAGAGGTAACACCGGCACAAACCCGACGGGTGAGAGGTACATTTGCGTAAATAATTCTACACCGATAGGATAATCAATGCGTGGGGGATTACGATGTACATATATCGTTAGTTTGTTACCGGGGATATTAGTTTCCGGCTGTTTCTGCGCGTGCATATGAACACAAAGCGTGCGAAGCGATAGATATGCTCGCTAGAATACATCATCTGGAACAATGGCAGTGTGTCTCGTATTATATAGAAAAACTACGTTCTACGGTTTGTCTAGTACCTTTTGGAATGATCAAATTAGAGTCACCAATAGTTAAGTGAATACACACGATGAATTTTCTTGAAATATAGCTTCCATTAACCTGACAAGCAATTTATCTCTATTAGCAACGTGTCAAGCAGCTTTTAAGGTTTCCGCGATCTTGCGCTTCGTGTATCTCGTAAAAATATGAAAATTATTGACTTCCATTAAGAACTCTTTAAATCGAGCTTTCTGCTCCAAATGTCAGCTAATGCGCGTAATTATGTCGAGCGGTTTGATTACTTTCCAATAATACTTTCCGTAATTTTCATTGTACGAGCTGATAATTCAGACGATCTAATTACGGTTGCTCGTCAGATCCATCAGCCGTTCTCCATTTTGATCCTTGATTTACTCGTTATATAACTTTGGATCGGAGGAGATAATACTTTTATTTGTTTTATGTCATCGGTTGATTATTGCGTTCTCCGTGGTATGGATGTGCAAACATCGCTTTAAAGCACTTAATCCGGCTTAATCCTGTGCATACCTTTCACGCCTCCTTAATGTCGCTCTGGTTCGTACGTTGCGGCTCCTACATAGTCCTCGAAGTTGGGCGCTCGATTATTCGTGTTTGAAAAGCAAGCACCTGCTAGAGCCTCAAGGACCAGTTATTATGTCAATACCGCTACCCAAAGAATTTTACCTCTAAATATCAAGATAAATTTCATAATTCTGATATTCAGTATACAACCCTATAAATTCGGAAAATCTCAAGATTTACATGTTAAAGCAAATGAGTTACATCAGTGGTGTCAGAATTGTTCACATACTCCAACTTCCTAGCTTCGAACACAATTTCGAAACTTTTCAAATAAAGCGGACTAACAACACTCTGGAAAGTTCGAATGCACTGTCGAAACCGTTCAGACTGCACTCGCTTCGATAGCTTCAAGATCCGATATTTTTCGAGCCTCCGAAAGAATTGTATACGTCAACCCTTGTTAATTACTCTTCAAAACTACCCTCTCTTTGTTACTTGATATTCTGGTTATGTGAAATATTTTGCGGTTCAAGATATTTTTGCTGTTGCCTCCGCAGAAACTTTTAGTTACAACTTTGTTGAATTCTTTTGTCAGTTGCTACATTAGCAATGCATCAGAATGCATCATATTTTAATTTGTATAGAATGCATCATACTATAAATTTTTACAAAATGCATCATACTATAAATTTTTAGGGAATGCATCATACTATAAATTCTTACAAAATGTATCATGCTATAAATTTTTATAGAATGCATCATACTATAAATATTTACAGAATGCATCATGCTATAAATTTTTACAGAATGCATCATACAATAAATTTTTACAAAATGCATCCTACTATAAATTTTTACAGAATGCATCATACTATAAATTTTTACAGAATGCATCCTACTATAAATTTCTACAGAATGCATCATACTAGAAATTTTTACAGAATGCATCATACTATAAATTTTTACAGAATGCATCGTGCTTTAAATTTTTACAAAATGCATCATGCTATAAATTTGCACAGAATGCATCATACTATAAATTTTTACAAAATGCATTCTACTATAAATTTTTACAAAATGCATCCTACTATAAATTTTTACAGAATGCATGATACTATAAATTTTTACAGAATGCATCATACTATACATTTTTACAGAATGCATCATGCTAGAAATTTTTACAGAATGCATCATACTATAAATTTTTACAAAATGCATCTTACTATAAATTTTTATAAAATGCATTATACTATAAATTTTTATAGAATGCATCATACTATAAATTTTTACAAAATGCATTATACTATAAATTTTTACAGAATGCCTCACACTATAAATTTTTACAGAATGCATCCTACTATAAATTTTTACAAAATGCATCCTACTATAAATTTTTACAGAATGCATCCTACTATAAATTTTTACAAAATGCATCATACTATTTCGTATCATATTATATCATATTATGTACGTGGGAGTGTATTGTATTTTATGTTTAATTTGATGTAGAATGTATGTACCTCCACGTTTAATAGTTCGATACGTTATTATGTTTTAACTGTGAGTTAATAGTTGCTCCTTAATAAAGAATAGTTATTAAAACTCTATTCCTACATGTATATCATACAATTTTTTTTCAACGTCGTCAAAGTGAATGGTGAATATGCACCCTCGTTGCAGAGGGTTACTGTTAGTTGTCTGAATAATTGATCGTACCAATCGAGGTTTCAAGAGGTCCCCATACGATCCGAGTTACGCCAATGGCAACGTGACGTGCAAACACTACGTTAGCAACCTTAAGCTGGCACAGCAGCCTCGTATTAAGCTTTCCGTGTCTCTTCGACGCCAGCACAGATCATACGTTACATGTTACTTCGGCCGGAAATCAGCTTCGGAACTACATCTACTACAGGCTAACGCTCGCGCGTGCAAAGGTGTATTTATGCACGTGTGTTTACCTATTAGCGACATGTCAGCGTGTTGCCGCTTTGCCGGTCGAGGCTGGCCGCGATTATTGGCTGCAAAGCAGTGATTACTCTCGTTCGGTCGAATCGAACGTGAAATTGCAATCGGGATACTGCCTCTTGTAAATCGGGATTCATTAAAAATTACCGGAGTTTAAAGTTTCATACTTTAAAGATTCAAACTGTTTCTCGTGAGGGATGATAATGATTGGGGAAAGGGATCGGCCCACAGGAACCGGAAGCTTGTGGATAGGTACACGGAGCTTGCCTCTGCTTATTAACTTATTGCATCTTCTAAGTTACCTAAACTGATATTAATTACTCCACTCAGGAAACTTTGGCCGACTTGTCGCGT